CAAAGGGACCACCTCGTTTGCACTCCGATGCGTACATTACGTGCCTCCCTTTGACAAAGCTGAACGTCATAGGAGAAGCCCCTGCATGGATGTACCAAACTCCATGCAGGGACGTTCATAAAAAAATTTAAAAAATAAAACAAGTCAAAGAGCTTCGGCACAGAAGGACTTCAGCTTCCTTCATTAAAAATTCAGCTATCATCAAAAATAAATGAGCCTCGGCACTTCAATAATTCACTGCCTCCGCTCCAAAAACAAATTTAGCTATTATCAAAGGTAAAGGAGCCTCGGCACTTCAGTAATTCACTGCCTCCGCTCCAAAAACAAATTCAACTATCTTCAAATTAAAGGAGTCTCGGCAGATCCGAGGTGAGTCAGTTTTAGATCAACTTCCAATTCCATGCACAATATAAAAAATCATTTATGGACTTGGGGACTACTATGTCGATCAAAAATTTTAAAGCTTTTTGTGATTCCCAAGGAGGGTACTTCGTTGACTGTTAAAAGTCCACGCGTAATATAAAAAATCATACATGGACTTGGGGGACTATGATGTGGATCAGAAATTTTAAAACTTTTTGTGATACCCAATTAGGGTACTTCATTGACTGCTAAAAGTCCACGCATAACATAAATAATCATGCATGGACTTGGGGGACTATTGTTACGACTTGCTACTAGCATGGTCGAGGCTAAAACATATCCGAGACTCATTGGCCGAGGCCCAACATATAACCGAGGCTCAAGAAGAAACCGAGGCTTATGATGAAACCGAGGCTCATGAAGAAGCCGGACTCAAGAAGAAGCCGAGGCTTATGATGAAGCCGAGGCTCAAGAAGAAACCAAGGCTCATGAAGAAGCCGAGGCTCTGTGTAAGTGGCCGAAGCCCACATCATCGAAACAGTAGCCTCCTAACCATAAAAGAGCATCTTCCATATTCACTTTTCCCAAGAGATCTTCTACATAAAGATCTTATATGGAATGATTGACGTGACTTTTGTGTAAAGTATATTTGTGTCTTGTCTTGTCAATGTAAGAGCATTTAATGCTTTGTTAGGTTAGGGGAGTCAACTT